ACTATTTACAAGTTATGAAGGTTCGTTGCTAACTTACAACGCAAGTTTCACATCAATATGGCCTAGTTAGATAATCACATATTATTCAGAAAGAAGAAGAAAAACTCTAAGTACCAAAAGCGCATTGTTTGTCACTGTGTCCAGAAAATCATTTTAAAACTTTGGCAGTGTCATTGTAAACACCTACTAGCAGCATGTTCGTTCTGTGCACAGCGACAAATCCAGGAAAACCCTTTTTTGAATCTACTTATGTATGTACACATTATCTAAATGACCGCAATGTTTAAAGAGGCGCTTAAGTAGGCGCTATTGCAAGGTTCAAAACACCCTGTAGATAATAATTAGGTATACTATTTAGCTTTAGCTATCTATATATAATGGTCTCCACAGAACACGCCCTAGCTTTCTTGCAGATTAATCACTTGCCAATCCCTAACCTCAAAGCATCCAGATTGCTTCCAGCAAAAACCGCGCACTATTGAGTTGATGGTTGGTTACAAATGAAGTGAAGAAGTTTCAAAACGGATCAGTCTTAATATTGACATGATGGTCGAAAAAATTGGCGTACCCTCAGTATTTCTGCGCGACACAATCCGCAGGGTAGTACGGAGTGGATGTGGTGCTTCTGTAGTTGTGAGGAGGACTGGATGGAACTCCAGAGTGCCGGAAATTAGCTAATTGGCAGCTGGGGGCGCTGCTGCCGTCGAATATTATATCCCGATATCCTGTGGGAGTGGTAGCAGACTCTGGAGAGGTTTCTGGACTGTACCAGGGACTATAACGCGGAGTGGCCTCATCTCCGAGATTGTATTGATGCTGGGGATTCGAACTAGGGCAATAAGAGTACATACCGCCTGAGGAATGTAACCTGGTAGAATTGGTGGTGTAAGGCAGCGCTTGGTCTCTGGATGCGGTCATTAAGGAGTCCACAGTGAAAGCTGCTGCGGTATCCATGGCCTGAAGCGAGGCAGTAACATCACTAAGAACATGCTCTTGATGAACTATCACACTCTTCGGATCACCATATTTTGCACTCATGCACTGGCTGAGCTCAGTGTTGGGCTCGCGCTTCGGCTTGCAATCGCCCAGTTTGACCTTGGATTCCTCCAGAGGCTTGTTCTCCTCGCGTTTAGTCAAGGAGGTAGGAGAGTCGGGCTGCAGTTGCTGCCTTTTGATGGCTTCCTCCTTCTCCCTGAGAGCGTCCTTTTTCTTGAAGCGCCGCCGCCGGCGCAAGTACGATCCGTTATCAAACATGTTGTAAGAGTCCGGATCCAGCGTCCAATAACTGCCCTTTCCAGGCTTTTTATCGTCTCTGGGCACTTTGACGAAACACTCGTTCAAACTTAGATTGTGCCGGATGGAGTTCTGCCAGCCCTGCTTGTTCTCACGGTAATACGGAAACCGCTCCATAATAAACTGGTAGATGCCATTCAGGGTGATTTTCTTCTCTGGAGCATTCTGGATGGCCATCGCAATCAGCGCTATGTAGGAGTATGGAGGTTTGACCATATCCTTAGCCGTAGCCAGAGGGTGTTGCTGATGATGCCAAGCGGCAGCTGCATATCCATAGCGGTACTGGTCATAGTAGGGATTTGAGGTCACTGTAGATGAAGGATATCCAGTGTTGTAGCGATTGTACATGCTCTGATGTTCCGTCAGGAAGGTATGCATTTTTCGAAGGTAAGCGGGGGCCAAGAATTTGTTACGACTTCAGCCTCCCGCGGCAAATTGGATTCCGCAAAAGAACAACAAGCAATGTTATTCCAGACTGATGTTTTCGCTGGATTCAGTCTTGTAAAAACACCCGGTCGGCCCGATGACTATTATTAAACACAACACCGTAGTTTACACAGGGTATAAGTAAAAACACCGTATGTTGCTTCGCGAGTAGACACAATGTTACTAGTGAAAACATTCGGATGAGCAAGGGGGCCAGACGTGGATTCTGCGTGTTGGCTCAAGTCCGGCCCAACTTTGTATCTTGTGCCAATACGATGAACGGAAACGCCCAAATCGATACTGCGCTCATGGTAATGTGCTGTCCGTACACGCCCTAAACAGGCGATTTTTTTTCAAGCAAGTGAAAATTTAAGTGGAAATTTTGAACCCTTTAAAAATTGGCGGACGCGAATATGCCGGTATTTTACGTGCACGAAACTGTCACAAACACAGTATTCTTTGGCGAATTCTTGAAGGCACCTCGAGTGTTTTGTGCACGCTTTTCGAGCTGCGTGTGCCGATTTTAGTGTTTTCCAATTGTGGATTCGAGGGCGTGTTGATGTTCCGAATCTAATGAGGCGGTCGTTGAAAAGCTGTTAACTGGTGCCGGTGAAATGGATTTCCATGTGGCCGCTTCCAACGTGGAAACTTAACGGGTTTTAGAGGTAATTATAGCAAATTTTGCCTGCTGAGTAATTTGTTTTATGGACATAACTGTGAAATGCGCTTGATCACAAGCAAAGGACACATCGAAAAAATTTCAGAACATACAACCCAAAAGCTACTAGCGTTAAGAGAATTTTAATTAGTAAATAGTGCACAATGTCTACCGAATTTGTTCGTTCGTTCGTCTAATTTCTTTCTAATCTAGTCTAATTCTAATAACTCTACTCCAACTGTTCATTTAACTAGAACGCCATAAATAGAAAAAAATTCAGAACGTACCACCTCAAAGCAACCAGTGTAAACAGAATTTGCATTAATAAATAGTGCAGTTTGTCTATATATTTTACTGTATTTTTTAAATTTTTTTAGCAACTCCTAATTCATATGTTCACTTAACTAAACATACTGCTCTTGTTACCATAAATAGAAAGATTTAAAGAACATCCAACCCAAAAGCGTCCAGTGTAAAGAGAATTTGCATTAATAAATAATGCAGTTTGTGAACCTATTTTGTTAATTTAACTCTCTATATTCGCTGTATTTTTTTAATTTTTTAGCAAGTGGTACTTCATCTGTTCATTTAACTGGAATGCTCTTGTCACCATAAATATAAAAATTTTTAGAACATACAACCTATAAGCAACCCGTGTAAAGAGAATTTCCATTTATAAATAGTGCAGTTTGTCTACCTATTTTGTTAATTTTTCTATATATTTTCACTGTATTTTTTACATTTTTTGAGCAACTCCTAATTCATATGTTCACTTAACTAAACATACTG